CCCAGGACTCCTCAGCCCAGTCCCCAACCCTCCCTCCCTCCCTCCCTCCCTCCCTGTTGGGTTGGCCTTCTGTCCTGCTCCCCTTCCGTCTCTCTCTCTCTCTCTCTCTCTCTCTGTGTCAGAAATAGTCAACACTAACTAGGTATCCTTAATGACAAAAATGTCAGCCAAGCTCTGAAAAGGTTAAATGGATGCATTCAATATAAGCAGGTGTGCCTGGAGCTCAGCAGGCCTCAGTGCGGGAAGGCCTCAGTGTGAGAAAGCCTCAGTGAGAGAGAGAAGCCCCAGGCTGAGGGCCTCAGGTGTCAAGCTCCTGTGTGAAGCTCCTGTGTCGGTTTGTTGTGTGAGAGGAGGAGGCTCTGGGAGGGCAAAGCTGTGTATCTGCACGAGGAATAGCGTGTTATACCAGGAAGGAAGGAAGGAAGGAAGGAAGTAAGGAAGGAAGGAAGGAAGGAAGGGGAAATCCTGGGAGAGTGGGAGGAAGGGGAAGCCCATGGAAAGGGTCCTGAGGCAAGATGGGGTGAGCTCCTGTCTATCAGCTCTAGCTTGGGGGACATGAGAGAAGCCTCCCTGCAAGTCACTTCTGGTGTGAGAGAAATTGCCATCTACAGAGACGTTGCCCAGGTGAAACACATCTGGCATCCACTGGCAACATCTCTGTAGATGGTGAATCCTCTCACGCCAGAAGGGATTTGCAGGATGTCTCTTCGGACATGATACAAGAATAGTAAGGCCTTTGAGAGGGTCCCCCATGATCCTCTTCTGGCAAACACACGAGTCAAAGGTGGGCGAGAGAATACGAATGTGAGGTGGGTTTGTGACCAGGGAAGTGACCGGCCCCGAAGGGTGGAGAGCGAGGACTCCAGAAGGAGGGCCAGAACAATCCACAGTGACCGCAACAGAGGAGAACGCTGGGTCAACACTCACAGAATGAACTCCAACCAGGAGAAGACTCCACTCGGGCAGAAAGAAGGGAAATCCACAGAGACAGGATGGGTTGTGCCTGGCTCGGCAACAGAGTGACACGCGGAAAAGATCTCGGAAGAGTCTGAGTGGACAGCAAGCGGAACGTGAGCCAAGAGTGTGATGCGCCCACAGCAGAAAGAGCCAGTGGGACTCTGAGCGCGCCTTGGCTCACCTGGCGGATGGAGTTCTGCCAAGGGATTCTGCTTTTCTGGCATGGAAGAAGAGGGTGGACTAGGTGGCCCACGTGGTCTCTTCCAACTCTACTCTTCTGTGATTCTTCTATTTGGGTGAGAAGGCAAGGGCCGAGAGAAGAGGGGGTTCCTCCCCCTGGGTGACCCCAAAAAGAGGCCGGAGAGCGACCTGCGGAGGGAGGATGCTCTCACTGGAGATGCTGCTTGGAGCAGAACGGGGATGGACTCCACGGCCCACTGGGTCAAGGCTGAAGGACACCCATCTCCTCCTCCTCCTCCTCCCAGTAGTCAGGCCTGCTTGTGTGCGGATGGACCAATCCTCATCAGACCACACAGGATCAACCAACCAAAGAACACCCAACAGATGGTCATGCCGTCTCTGCTTAGAAACCTCCAAGGGAGACTCTCATGGACTCCCGGTGGGAACAGACTCCACCACTCAACAGCTCTTCCCACCAGGACGTTCTTTCTCTTGTTTAGGTGAGGCCTGCACAACTTGTCAGTGTGAGTGAGGGGTGGAGGACAAGGAGAAGCAGAGTCCAAACACGCACAACTCCCCTGCTAGGCAGGCACGTGAATGCAATCCTCTCATGGCCTCTTCCAGCTTTGCAATGGGACAGACTGTCTCATAGGCAAGTGGTTCATTCCAACCCCCAAAACACCGCAGAGTCCTGGTCACAGTGTCACAGCCTCTGGCCTTGTAAAGTAGCTCATCTCTTGGAATCAACACTCTTGAGTTCTGACTTCTATTTATTTACTGGCAACATTTCTGCTCCGCTCTTCTCAACCCCCGAGGGGGGACTCTGAGTGGGTAGCACTGGTAGCAATTCGATGCCGCAATAACACAATAACAACAACCTAAAACCATAAATACAGAACAGATGGATACGCAGTTCTCCACTCTGACTGAAGCTCTTTCCACATTCTATGCATTTATGTGGCTTCTCCCCTGTGTGGGTCCTTTGATGGATACGCAGATCTGAACTCCGAATGAAGCTCTTTCCACATTCCACGCATTTATGTGGCTTCTCTCCTGTGTGGATCCTTTGATGGGTACGTAGCTTGTCACTCCGACTGAAGCGCTTTCCACAATCCATGCATTTATATAGCTTCTCCCCTGTGTGGGTCCTTTGATGGGTATGCAGTTCTCCACTCTGACTGAAGCTCTTCCCACATTCTATGCATGTATGTGGCTTCTCCCCTGTGTGGGTCCTTTGATGGATACGCAGATCTCCACTTTGACTGAAGCTCTTCCCACATTCTATGCATTTATGCGGCTTCTCCCCTGTGTGGGTCCTTTCATGGGTACGCAGAGTCCCACTTTCACTGAAGTTCTTTCCACATTCTATGCATGTATGTGGCTTCTCCCCTGTGTGGGTCCTTTGATGGATACGCAGATTTCCACTTCGACTGAAGCTCCTTCCACATTCCATGCATGTATGTGGCTTCTCCCCTGTGTGGGTCCTTTGATGGGAGTGCAGATCTCCACTGTGACTGAAGCTCTTTCCACATTCCACGTATTTAAATGGCTTCTCTCCTGTGTGAGTTTGTTGATGTGTAGTAAGATAACTTCTCTTAATGAAACATTTCCCACATTCGATACACTTATGTCGCTTCTCCCCTGTGTGTGATTTTGACAAGGAATGTGGATTTTCCATTCTTTTACATTTATGATTTCATTCCTGTCCTAGGCCAAAGGGAAGTGTTCTTCAGAAGGTTCCTTCAGAGGTTACCTGCCAGAGAAAGTAGAGAAAAATCTTATCAGGAGCAGAGCACAGAAGTCTCTCCTTGAACAATAAGAACCATCGCTTGGTGCTGTAGCCAATGCCGGAGAAGAAGGGAGAAAGAAAGAGCGGTCCGATGGAGAAGAGCCTCAGCCTGCTGAGAAGGACGTCAACACTTGCCCAACCAAGAGCGAGCCCTGCAAAGAGGGGAGGGTGGCCCACGATGCTTTGCATGAGGTGACTTGAACTGCCGTGTGTTCAGAGTGTCACCCAGCCTTAGCCAAGGAAAACTTCTGACAAGACAGTCCGCACAGAAAGGGCTCAGGGTGCCAAGTGCTTCCTGCCCGGATCCCGCTTCCTCGCAGGATCCCCACTCAGAAGAACCTTGCTTTCTTCCCATTCCAGATCCATTTGGTCATATCTTTTTCTATGTCTAGAAGGGTGTGATGTACGTGGAGGGTGGCACGCGTTCCTTTGGGACCCGAAGGTAGAGAAGAGCTTCTCCAACCCCTTTGTCGGGGCAGCTCTATTCCAGAAGAGATGGGGAAAATAATACCCAGGAAGGTTTGAGATGGAAAGGCCGCTCTGGCTTTCCCTAGTTGAGGGTCCCCAGAGAAGAGAGATCTCCACGCACACGTGGGATACCTATCCACATCTTCTGAGGAAGCAAAATAATATTGGGATAATACTCGAATGGAACACGGAAACAGGGCAGATACAGGAAAACATGATTCCGTGGGCTGAGGATATTGACCGCTCTCTCTTCTCAGAGGAATGGGGAAAAGGGTGGAAACTGAAATCAAAATACTCAAGATCCATAAAAGTCATAGAAAATGGGTACAAAATGTTTTTCCATTGGCACACCAGAGAAGTAAGCAAGAGACTATAAAAAGCAAAATAATAAATGTTGGAAATGTGGGGTTTTTGAGAGACTAAAATAAGGATAAAATATATACTTGTATTTCACTTCTGCAGCAAGAACACTCCCAGCGCAGAAATGGCGTGAGAACTCTTGTCTGTTGGGTGAATGCTTCAACTGCGAATCCCCTAGCTCCAGCACACAAGAGTCCTTTGTCCCACCCTGGCCATTCCACGGGTATGTAAACCCAATTTTCCTAGTTGCAACAGACCTCACAACCTCTGAGGATGCTGGCCATAGATGCAGGCGAGACGTCAGGAGAGAATGCCTCTAGAACATGGCCATATAGCTCGAAGAAACCTACAACAACCCAGATGATAACAACAACAACTGCTAATCACCTATCTCCCTTGAATTCCTGCGCTGAAAATCCAATCTAGCGTGTGTCCTGCCCGATGCGTGGGCCCAGTACAACCAAGCGAGAGAATGTGGAGTTGGCCATG